CTGACACGTGGTGAAGGGCTGGGGAAGTGCCTCCAGAATCAGCAGCTTTAGCACCACAGCCAGGATGCACCAAAGCATAGAAAAACAGCTGACTCAGCATGTCCTTGGTGTCTCCAAGGGGCTGGAGAATGAACTCAGTTGCCTCTCCTGCTTCTCTCTGTCTCCTTCCTGTCATTCCCACGTGGAGCTGGTTCCCTTCCCTAGAGTAGGATTGTGTTGACTTTGCTTTGTCCCAGAACGTTCTGGGTGGGAAGGAACTGGGAAAATCATCCCATTCCATGGGCAGGGACACCTTCCACCAGACCAGGTGGCTCCAAAGCCGAATACACAACTTGCCTGCCAGCAAAAGGTGACCCAAAGATGCTCCTCTGCTCTCATCCCGTAGGAACTTCACTCCGAAGGATGTTTGCTCAACTTCCAGGACACCCCCAAGGTGTCCCAGGATCTCAATCAGCACAAAAGTGTGTGGAGTGAGCTCCGCATAGGAATGACAGATGGTTTTCCCCCTCTTCCAGCTGATCTCTCCCTTAGGCGAGTCCTTAAGCATCGTCGTCATCCCCGGGGAGGGGGGAGTGTCAGGAGTTCGATATTCCTTGGTCCGGGAGAGCTAGGGAAGAGGAGCTGGCTCTGTGCCCGGCTCTCCCAACAGCTCCCCTGGGACCCCCCTCCAATCCCAGGGCAGCCTCAGATGTTAATCAGCAATTAGAAGAGGTGCAGACACCGCTCGTGGGAACGAGGAGCTGCCCTCCGCAGCCTGCAGGAAACTTGGAGTAATAAAAACTCGCTGCGAGATCTCCCGGCAGGAGGGAAAGAAATGTTACCGTGCAAAGATCTCTGCAAAAGTGGCTTTTGTCCTCTCACGCTCCTCCTTAAGGGTTTCATTTGATCGCAAGCACCGATATGTGTGTGTGACCTGCTGTCACTTCTACACCAGGAGGTGAAAGCTCCGCAGTTCTCCTCGTGCCTCGGAGGTTGAGCTCAAGGTAAAGGTGAAAGGTGGAAAGCAGAGCACAAAAAAAAAACAAAACCGATTTTGCACTTGCCTTTTAGGGCTTCTAAACAGAGGTTCCCTTCCCCTTTTGTTTTCCCCCTTTGAGGCGAAATGGCTGAAAATTCCAGCTCTTTTGTTTCCTTGGGCTGAGTGTTTTAAGGCTCCCACCCTTAGGCTCTTATCTAAGATCGGTTTATCCGAGGTCATTTTTGACAGGAGGCAGACACAGGAAGCTCCACAGCAACCAAAACCACGCCTTTCCGATTAACCCTCCATCCCTTGTTTCTTCTCAGTCCTTTCCTACCCTGGGACACCCCCATTCCAATGTTTTTTTTTACACCAAATTCAACATTTCTGCCGTAAATCTCCACAATCCCCTGCCTTCAGCCCCAGCTCTGTTTGTGCTGCCTCCCTGGATCCTGGGGAATTCCTTCTTTGGAGAGAGGCACATTTTGGGTGGAAGGGATGGGGAAAGGAGTGAAAAGCCTCTTCCCTCCCCAAAACAACCTGTGGACTTCTCTCATTCCCATGGGATGCAGCAGAGTGGCCTGTCAGTGACAGCAAAGAAGCACCTGCCCATAAAAAACCTGGAGCATCCCTGGATGCTCCAAACACCTTCCTGAAGGTCTTCTGGGCAACTCTGATCCAGAAGCAAGCAGGAGGGACTTGAGGAGGAGGAGGAGAAAAATCCAAGGTGGGATGATGAGGAAAGGTTGGGATGTGGAGTCAGGCCTCTCCTCCATTTGGGTGGAGCAGGATGGTGTGAGCAGCAGCCTCGGGGATGGTCCATCACAATTCCAGCAGTGCCAGAGGCCGTGCCAGCACCTGGGGCAGGGAGGGCCTCTGTGCCACCACTGTGTTGCTCTGGGCAAAGGGAATTTTGGGGATGAGAGGACACACCCCTTGCAGCAAGGGCGGAGATCCTGGGATCTGCTCTTCCAGCCTAAGGAACGGCTCATATGTCCTCCCAGTCCTCTGCCAAACCAACAATCCATGTTTTACCGTGACGTGGTTTTGGGGAGGTGGGACAGTACTCATCCCCAGAGCAGTTCCCCACCCTCTCCAGAAGAAGACAAATCAGAACACTTCCCATCTGCACAGAATGACGCAATTACTGAAAAGAAAGGCCTTTGCCCCCTTCCTGTGTCGTTGACCCGAGAGCTGTGGGAGCAGTTTTGCTCCGCTAAACATCTCATTTGCAAATCCCACCGGGCGAGACCCACGGGCACAGGCCCAGAGAGCGCCACACAAGCCCTGAAGGAGAAATGGGGCAGGGAAGGAACCTCTCCAGGTGCCCCAGAAGCTGAACAAGCTCTCAGTGAGCCCCACATTTCAAGCCTGAACTCCTCAAGTGGCCATTCAGTTCACCCCCCAAGCCTCTCACTGCAGCCCTAGCGAGTGTGGCGTGAATTGCTGCGCCGTCTCTGCTCCCCCCTGAGCCACGAGAGGAGCTTTGCACTCCTCATTTCCTCATTTTAACACTACCCCTTCCTCCCCGACGTGCCAGTGACCTTGAAATATTTACCCAGGCACCAGTTTGCTCCCTGATCCAGCCCCTGCCTTATCTCCTTCTCCCTTAAGAATGTTCCTGTACCTGTCTCTGCCTTTCCCCCGGCACACACCACATTCCTGCTGCTGGACTCTCCCCCTGCTGCCTTTTTTACCGTGTCCCTCCTCCGGTGAAGGGATATTTTTTTTTGGCCTTGTGTTCACAGTATGAAGACAACGATTCAATGACACCTCCAACAACCACGAGCAACCCTCCAACAACCCCAAAACTCCAACAAATTTGCAAGGAGCGACCAGGGCAGTGTTTTGTGTGTCAGTCTAGAGCAGAAATCTCTGCTGAGCTTTGCAGTCTGTCCCACACCACAACCTTGGTAAGGAGATGGGAGACACGAGCTTAGACCGTGGAATAACCAATATTTTGAGCTGGAAGGGACCCACAAGGGTCATGGAGTCCAAGCAAGCCTTCAGCAGGACTTCCTTCCTTTCCACCACAGGGAATTGGTTCTTAGGTCACCTGCTCATTTGCAGCACCCTGTAATTAATGCTGTCCCTGCCCAGAGGATCGGGATGACTCCGGATCCTGTGGTGGGTTGAGTCCCATGTGACTCTCAGGTCCTGCCTCTTCCTTCCTATTAGCAGACCTAATAACAGACAGGTCCTCTCCAGGAAGCAGTGGGACTGATAATGGGAAATTTATGCGTGGGAGAAAAACCAGGAAGCTGCAGGTCCTCGGACGCTTCTCCTGGGGATGAGGGGAGAGTCTCATGGAATCACAGAAGGGTTTGGATTGGAAGGAACTTAAAGATCACCCAATTCCAACTCCCTGCCATGAGCAGGGGCACTTTCCACTAACCCAGGTTGCTCCAAGCCTCATCCAACCTGGCCTGGGACACTTCCAGGGATCCAGGGACAGCCCCAGCTTCTCTGGGCAATCTGTGCCAGGGCCTCCCCACCCTCACAGGGAAGAATTCCTTCCTCATATCCAACCTAAATCAGCTTAGCAGACACTGAAGGAAGAGAAGAGCTGAAGGAACATACCTTTACCTTCCTAATACCCAGAAATTAAATCTCAGGTGCTGCACCTGATTGCTCGTGTGCAGCCACAAAAAGCCAGACAGACTCTCGTGGGCAAAACCTCAACTTGTTAAGAGACAGAGCTTTTGGGAGTTTGAATTATAGTTTCTCAGTTGCCACAAAGCTGAAACTTCCCAGTTTTTTAGCATTTGGGTTCGTGAACCAGAGAAGGAAACGGTCCCAGCAGCCTGTTCCAGCAGAAGATGTTAGACCACAGAAACACACTGCTCAGAAGGCAGCTCAAGCTGCAACACCTGGCAAACGAGAAATAAAGATGAGAGAAAAGGGAAGCAGGAGTTTGCAGACACGGATTTGTTTCCCAAGCAGAGCACTCTGAATGCACTCCAACAAGACAGGAGCTGGAATTTCTCCTGACAGACGCATTTGCCAGGAAATGCTGACTCTGCAGAATAAACCCCATCTGTGGCACGGAGTTTGTCAAGCCTGCTTGTTTCCTGCTGGCTCACCAGCCATCTCCTCCATTCCCAGGCTTTCCAGACAGCCAGCTTCCCAGGATCCCTCCCCCACTGCCCTTCCTGCAGCTCATTTCTTGGAGGATTTAGTGATTTCTATGGGACCCACTCAATTTGGGCCACTCCAACAAACCTTTCTGGTGGACTTATTTACGCTCTGAGGCCTCGTCCTGCCAAGCAGCCCAGGCTGTCCCATGCCATCCCAGCTCTTCAAGCTTCCCCAATCCTGTATGTCTAATCCAATTTAGGCTCTGGTAAACAGATGGGGAAGTTGTTTCTTTACGTGCTTGGCTCTTGGGATGGGGGGCTGTGCATGCAGAGGGGTCCTACATGAAGAGGGGGCGTCACGCATGCAGGGGTGGGTTATGAATTTGGGGGATGCTGCATGCAGGAGATCCACGCGGGGAGCCCTGCACGCAGGGAATACGTGGACAAACAGGGAATATGCGGACACAGGGAGTATGTGGGGGGGTGTTGTGTGGGTGTGCGCTCAGGGGGTCTGCGAATGCTGAGGTACGGAGGAGGGGAGAGAGGCACGAATCAGGTACAGGGGAGCCGCGAAACAGCGGCTTGCGCTTGAAAAGGGCTGCGCACGAGTGGGGGTCCGGCACGCAGGCAGCGCTCCCGCTCCTGCCTCTTCCTTCACGGAAACCGCAGGGACACGAAAAAAAAAAAAAAAAAAAAAAAAAAAAAAAAAAAAAAAAAAAAAAAAAAAAAAAAAAAAAAAAAAAAAAGAAGAAGAAGAAGAAGAAGGGGGGTGGGGAAACCCCTCCGGAGCACTCCTAGGGCAGAACCAGCCCCGCTCCCCTCAGCCGGGGCGGCCGCTCCCGCCCCTTTCCCCGGCGCCGGTTCTCCCGATCGGGGAATCGAAAGCGGGCGCGGCCGGGGGGGCGGAGGGGGGAGGCGGCGAGGGGGCCGGGCCCGGCCCGCGGGGCGGGGCCGCCGCCCTTTGCCCACCCCCGGAGCCCGGCCCTGCCGCCAGCCCTGCGCTCCGCCAGCCGCCCCTGCGCATCGCCACGGCCACAGCCCCGCAACATGAAGGCGCTGCTGCTCGCCGTGCTGGCCGCGGTGCTCTGCGTGGAGAGAGGTAAAGGGAAGGAGGAAGGGGGGCGGCCTCCGCCGGCATCACCTCTCCCTGGGGGTATCCTGGTCCCTCGCCAGCTCTGCGTTGCGAGCAAATTGCGGGGGGTGTGGAGGGGGGAAGAGGGGGGAGTGATGCGTGTGGGCGCTGGAAGTTGGAGGTTTGCAGGGGGATATAAGGATCGTAAAGGGGCTGGCGGCGCAGAGCTGAGCCGTGGTGGGGTTTGGAGCGGGCTGGGGGGGGTGTCTTTGCCAGCCCTGCCTCGGATCAGTGTCCCTCTTGAAGCGGGAACTTCGGGGCTCGCCTGCCTCTAGGAATAGGTGAGCATCTCCAGCTGTAGCATCTCCGGCAGCGCGCCTGGATATCCTGGAGCTCTTCCCAGTTGCGGCTCGAACAAAGACCCAGGGCCGGCTCCGCTCCCCCTTCTTCGGCGCGGCGAGCCGGGATAACGGCGCTGGGATGGGCTGGGATGCAGCCGAGGGGAAGGAGGGTGGAGGAGAGATGCAATGGCTGATGGAGCAAATGCGCTCGTGATTCTGCTCCCTCCGAGCATCCTTGAGGGCGATGACCCCCCCAGGGGACAGTGCCCTGGGAGGAGCATCTTGGGGCTGCCACCAAACCCGGGGGAGAACGTGGTTCCTGTTGCTGGCTGTTTTGCTGCCAAGTTGCCCAAGTGGCAGGGCCTGCCATCCCCCTCCATTTCTGACTCTCCGAACTCCGAGGGGGCCGTGCAAACACCGCGTATTGTTTCCATATGCCGCTGCTCGGAGGTGCCGAACAAAGAGCGAGCGGGAGAGTCCCGGCCTCTCGCAGCCCTTGCTCGGCAAACGCGGGGCCCTCCTTGCCTTCCGAGGGCACCGGTGAGACGAAGCGAGTTGTTTGCTGCCCTTCCCACTCCCCCCTCCCGGTGGGATCCGGCAGTTCAAGCGCTGAGTCTCGGGCAGAGCCCAGCTGGTGCGTGCTCCGTTCCAGAGGGGAGGATGGGCTGTCCAGGCCAAGGCTCCCCAGCCCCCTCCAAAAAAAAAAAAAAAAACCTTTCAGCTTTAAAAGTTAGTTCTGAGCCAGGCAGAAGGGTTTGGTGCAGGGAGTTTTTAATCCCCGAACGCTTCCAGCATATCCAGGGGGGTGTTTCAGAGGAAAGCTCTACCTCCCGCTCCAAGATCTTGTCCATGTTATTCAGGGTATGCAATGATCCAAGAGCCATGGAAAAGGGAAGAGTTTTTGGCATCGGGGCTGAATGGAAGAGCTCCCCAAGCCAGCAGCATTTTCCCTTGTGCTGCCGAGCTTCAGAGTCGGCTTTTCCAGGATTTTTCCCCCCACACACACACCTTCGCATTGCTTTTCGCAAGAGCGATTCACCCTCTTATCTGAAGGAATTCCCCCAAACGCTCTGCTCTGTTTTGGGAGCTCTTTGTTCCTCCGAGTAGCCGAGCAACAAACAAATACCTCAATCCTTGAGCTGGCGAAAATGTGGCTTCCCTTTTGCATGGCTTGGGACTAATTTTTGGGTTTTTTTCTTTTCTTGTAGCCTTGAGCTCCAACTCTTTCCTCCTCCAGCTGCATTAAATTAATTCTGCCACCCTTCTTGTGCCTTTTGTCTAAAACACTCAGCCTGCCTGTGCTCTCCTAACTCTGCAGGGGGTTATTGAGCTGGTTTTTTGGGGGGGCAAACAGTAACTGAATGTTTCCTCACTTAAATTACGTCGCAGGACTGCAAAGATTCTGTCTCTGTTGGGGGTTAATAGGTGGGTGTGACAAAGAAAAACATGGGGACAGGTAGGAGATGCTGTAGATTTAGTCACATGGCAGAGAATTTCATGCCTGAAGGCCCTTTGGTGTCGTGGACAAACATTAATGGTGCGTTTGTTCCCGGAACCTCTTAAGGTTTAATGAGTATCATTGAGCCACTCGTGCCTCCAGCATCATGAGCAAATCCATGTGGGGACATCTGTCCTGCCCTAAAGCCCACAGGAAGCCTGTAATCCCCTTCATCCCTGCTTGCAGAGGGCTCCTGTGCAATGGGATGAGTCAATTTTACCTCCTCAGGGTGGTTGCACAGTGGAGGGGTTGGGACAGGTCACCTGAGAGGGTCGAAGGAGCAGATCTGGGCTCTGCTCTGACGTCCCACCTTGAGTTTTGGCCAAGCCAGGGAGGTGCTTGGAGGGCTCCATGACTCAACAGCTGGTTCCATCCTCCTCCCCCTCTCCTAAATGCAGAGCCAGGGCCCACTGAGGAATCCCTCCTGGGGTTTTTGGCTCAGCTGGTGGCCCTGGAATCCTGTGTGTTGGCTGTGGCTGCCACTCAGGTAACCCGGGTTTGGTTCAGGGATCGTTGCCAGAGTGATGATCCTTGGAGGGTGGATGAGACACTCCAGGAAATTCCTGCTCGGGGGGTTGTGGTGTTGGCTTCCACTCCAAAGCAGAGTCCTTTGGCTGCCCCGATGTGACATTCAGCACCTCCCACTAACCCACTTCAATCTGTTTCTGGGAGATTATGTTTTGTTTTCTTTCCCCTCCTCGGCTGTGGCTGCTCAAAAGTCGTTCCCCTGAGAACAGCTGTTAGGGTTTTCTTTCTCAGTTTTCTTGTGGAAATCTTTTATTTTCCTGAAAGAAACAGGATCAAGAAGAACCTCAACCCTTTTATTTTCCTGAGAGAAACAGGACTGAGAAGGAGCTCAAGCAGAGTGGGACAGCTCTGAGTATTGTTTGTCTAACTTAGGCTTCCAAATACCCCTGACAGGGACTGCTAAGCTCTCCCAGGGCTTCCCCAGCTTCACATCCTTGGGATAATACTTGTAGGGGCCTGCAAAAAAGCTGGAGAGGGTTTTTTTTAGTGATAGGATAAGCAGGAATGGCTTTAAACTGAGAGAGAGTGGGTTCAGATTGGATATGAGGAAAAAATTCTTCCCTGTGAGGGTGATGAGGCCCTGGAACAAGGAAGTTGTGGCTGCCCCTTCCCTGGAAGTGTTCAAGGCCAGGTTGGATGGGGCTTGGAGCAACCTGGGCTGGTGGAAGGTGTTCCTGGGGGTCGGAGTGAGATGATCTTTCAGGTCCCTTCCAACCCAAACCTCTCTGTGATTCTGTGCTAATCTGTCTGTGGTGGGAGCAGGAACGATTCTGCCTTGAACTTCCCATCCTGGATCAGCCCCTGCCCTGTTTTGCATCCTGTAAACACGGAGGAGGAAGGAGGTGCCTCGTGGAAGAGCTCAAAAATCAGAGCCTCTGAAACCTTGGGAAGAGGCCTGATCTGCCTGCAGATGTAGGTCAACAACTGCAGTGTGGCTGTGATGTTCCTGTGTGCAAAATACAGAGGAGATCAAAGTCCCCGTGTCTGTGCTTGGTCCAGGCTGTTTCCACAACCATTTCCCACCCCTGAATTCCAACTTTTCCTCTTTTCTGAAGGCTGAGGGATGGGAGCCAGCCAGTGCAACCCATCCTGCTGGTGTAGGGTAAGCCATAAATGTTGTGCCAGGGAAGGTTTAAACTGGATATTAAGGAGAAATTTCTTCGCTGGAAGGGTGGCCAAGCATTAGAATGGACGGAATCACCATCCCTTTGGAAGTGTTCCAAAAACTTGTAGGTGCTTTGCCTAAAGACTTGGTTTAGTGGTGAACTTTGCAGTGCTGGGTTAATGGTTGGACTCAGTGGTCTTTGAAGTCTTTTTCAGCCTAAATGGTTCCATGATTCCACAATTTAGGTGACCTGCCTTGGAGGAAGGCATGCAAATGAATGCTCCTGCTCCAAATTGGAAAGCTTGGATGCATCATCTGCCCTCGGAGCGCTGTGACTCCCTGAGCAGTGGGATGGTGCAACTCCAGGTCTTGCTGCGATACCGGACTTGCTCCAGCTGAGAAATTGTTTCCACCAGGTGATGCAGGTCCAAGTGGGAGCCTCACCTTGGTGTCACAGAATCACAGAATATGCCCAGCTGGAAGGAACCCAGGGGGATCATCGAGTCCAACTCCTGGCCCTGCACAGGCCCAGCCCCGAGAGTCCCACCCTGGGCCCAAAGGAAGGTTGTGGGAAGCTCGAACCCGAACGTGGTCACACCTGGAGTGTGTCACAGAATGTCACATGGAATGGTTTGGGTTGGAAGGGACCTTCAAGATCATCCAGTTCAACAGGCAGAGGCTTCATTTCCACTGCGCCTGAGCTGAATAAACCCAAATCCCCAAAACTTGCCTCTGTTGTTCAGTTTTGAGTCGGCAAGCGTGGCTTGAACTTGGTGCGAACAGGAGGGTGACATCAAGTACCAGGCTGTGGCTGTATCAAGGCTTTAGCTGATCCTACCAGGGGCTCAAAATATATCCCTTGTGCTTGAATCCTTCACTAGGACAGGTTTTTTTTTGGGGGGAAAAAACCCAATTTCAGGTCGATCCGGGTGAAATAGCTGCGGGGGGATGCGACACGTCCCACGTGTCGGAGGTGGGGACCACCAAGCGAGGAGCTCCTCCCACCAGCCTTAACTGAGGTGTTGCTTTCCTCTTGCAGCCCACACACTCATCTGCTTCTCGTGCTCTGATGCCTCCTCCAACTGGGCCTGCCTGAAGCCTGTCAAGTGTGGGGAGAATGAGAACCACTGTGTGACGACGTACGTGGGAGTGGGACTCGGTGAGTGCCGCCAGCGCCTCCTGCCCCTTTTGGATGCTCTTCCTTCCTTTGGCTGGGGGGGGGGGGGGGAAAAAAAAAAAAAAAAAAAAAGGAAAGAAAAAGGGAAAGTTCTGCTTAGCAACTGAGCAGTCGGACCCATCCCCCGGGAATTTTGGGGAGGGATGGCCGTGCTGCCGGGAGGAGGAGTCACGTTAAGGCCCACATGCCGCGGAGTCCGAGGGGAATTCAGGGAGGGGGCGGGGAAGTTGTGCTGATGAATAAGTGAAAGCGTGGAGGATGCTGCAGGATTCCTCTGTGGGAAGCTCCAGGGTTGCTACTCCTGC